TGGTGGCGCGGGGGGGTCGGGGGAAACGGTCAGGCCCATCCGATGTCGGCTGAGGGGACAAGCCCAGGACGGCCCAGAGAATAGCACTGCGGGGACTGGAGCTGCCTCGGAGCCCCGCGGGGGACGCAGAGCAGACACACCGGGAGGGACACGGTTGGGTTCGGGCGCTGGAGGCACCCCTGGACAAGCGGGCGTGTACAGTGACGCGTCTGAGCTAGATGGGGCCACCTAGGGGACAGCCTGTGAAGGAGGCCGAAAATGAAGAGCAGGTAATAGAGAAGCTGAGGCAGAGGGCGACCGAGCAGCACAGCAGTCAGAGTTAGCATGGATTAAAATGTGGTTTGGGAACCAGAGAGAGGCTGGGAAGAGCAGGTGACTGCAGGTGGAAAAGGAACCAGACTGGGACCGGCAGGTGGTGCAGAGGTTAAGGCCGCAGGATTCCACGTGGCCGACTGCGTGGTTCAAGTCTCTGACCCAGGCACATGTGTGCCAAAATCCCAAGAAAAGAGTGGAGGAGAAGGGATTGTGGCTTGGCCATCTCCCCCGAGGGGAGATTTTTCTCTCTCTCCCCATCTCTGTCTCTAGAAATAGTGCACACACTATAGCAAAGGTATGGGGGCCGGAGGAGGAAAGAAAAGAAAGAAAGAAAAAGAAAACAAGGACCTGGACCCCTGGGCTGAGAAGTGAGGGGTGGATGGAGGTGAGCGTGGAGCACAGCTCCTGGGCTGAGGTGGCTTTTCTCTGTCTTGGATTCCTCGCTGCTGGTCCAGAGTTTTTGCACTGAATTATACTATTCTTTCAAGAAGTCTAAGTGAAAAGAGAAGAGAGGTGAGGCGTGTGCAGAGTCCAGGGACTTTGCAGGGATGAGCGAGAAGAGCCCTGGCTTCTTCCCATCAACTTGTAGGGAGGGGAGCAGGTCCAGATACCTGAGGAGGCCTGAGGGCATAGCACTGAGGGGCGCAGGGAGAGCCTTGACTAAAACAAGGATTCTGGTCACAGAGAATGGAAGGAGGAAGGTAAGGGGAGGGAGAGGTGTGAGCAGTCACACCTTTGACCTTTCTTTTGCTGGGGAAAGTGGAAGGCAAGGTCACCTGCTAAGAGCGAGGTGGACAAGTTGGGGAGGAATTAGGGGTGTGGCGTGGGTTTAAGAAAGGCGCTGAGGTGATTAGTTGGAAGTATCCAAAGGACAGTGATACCATTGGCAAAAGCTATTGGAACCTCAGAAAAGTCATGACGCATTTTTGTATAGAAAGACAGAAAAAATATGTCATGACTTTAACAAACCAATAATAGAGCTTTGTAAGACACAGATATGCTACATGATTTTCTTTTCTTCTTCATTTCTTTAAACTTTTTATTCTTCCATGAAAAAGTGACAGAGACAAAGCAGAGATAGGCACCTCCAACAGGGTCTGCATACCACGATCGACCCCTGTCTCAGCCCACCTAGGTCACAGGCAAGCACATACACCCCCAGTGTGCTCAGGGAGGCCTCGGGATGCAAACCCAGACCCACATCCATGTGAGTCCAGTTGCATTACCACTGAGCCACCTCCTGGCCCCATAGCGTCATTGTCTTTAGCTGTTAAAAACTGTCAGATAGTGACGAGCACTGGAAACCATCCTGAGGTGTTCAGGTTCAGATCTTCTGGGCCAGCAGGTTCCAACCTAACTCTATTCTCAAGACTCTTGTAGAGATCTTTTTTAAAGCACAAATTTCCCCAGAATCATTGCCCCAAGACTCAGATTCTGTGGGTGGTGAGGTCTACAAATCTAGCTCCCTAGTGACTCCTATGTAGACAGATAAATATTGTCAGGGCACTGAAGATTTTCTTTTTAAACGGAAATGACAAGATTGGGACTATTTTCAGAGGAGAGTAAAGTGGATTGAGGAGAGGGACATAGTGAGGAAGGTTGGACAAGAAAGTTATAGGCCAGGGCCCTTTCCCACTATATAAAGATGGCAGGTGAAAAAGCTGCGAGGCAGGATACTAAGGAGAAGAAACCCGAAGCCAAGAAGGCTGATGCCAGTGGCAAGGGTAAAAAGGGTGACCCCAAGGCTAAAAAGCCCAAGAAGGGGAAGCCCCATTGCAGCCGAAACCCTGTCCTAGTCCGGGGCATCGGCAGATACTCCCATCTGCCACGGATTCCAGGAAGACCGCGTACAAGAGGAAATAGTCAGCCACTAAATCCAGGATCGAAATGAAAAAGGAGAAGGTTCTTGCCACTGTCACAAAACCATTTGCTGGAGACAAGAATGCTGGTACCCGGGTGGTTAAACTGCGCAAAATGCCTGGGTATTATCCCACTGAGGATGTGCCTCGAAAGCTGCTGAGCCACAGCAAAAACCCCTTCAGTCAGCACGTGAGAGAGCTGCGAGCCAGTGTCACTCCTGGGACCATCTGATCATCCTCAGGAGAAATTCGAGATTTCAGAGCAGCACAATACAAGATTTCAGAGCAGCACAAGGTTGATCAGAAAGTTGTGGACTCACAAATTTTACCAAACATCAAAGCTGTTCCTCAGCTCCAGGGCTACCTGCAATCCGTGTTTGCCCTTACAAATGGAGTTGATCCTCACAAATCGGTGTTCTCAATTTTTTGCCAAGAACCTAATTAAATAACTGATCATATGTATATATACATATAGGTATACATATATGTGTGTGTGTTTGTGTGTGTGTGTGTATAGAAGTTATAGTCCAGGGAAATCGTAATGGCCTCATGGGTTAAAATAGAGGACACATAGAGGCGGCACTGGAGAGGTAGCCATTTTAATGTGAATGCCCAGCTATGTCCTAGAGGTAGTTAGATAAGTGTTCTGTGGATTAGACAAGGCAGCTAGAATAAGCAAGAACTTTGCCGTCTGTAATGTACTTCTGAGCTGGGTCAGAAATGAGACCTTTTGGTATCCAGCCTTAGCTCCATTGGCCCCTGTAAGTCTGTCGTGTGCTCTAGGCCTAGTCAAAGAGTGTTAAGCAAGGTGCCTATCATGAATTACCCAGGGACCTTAAAATATTTTTGCATAGAAAAATGTGTCATGACTTTTCCCACAACCTCATAGATGCCCAAGTATACTCCTGATTTTCATGGTGCCCAGGAGCCCTGTGGGAGAGAAATTGAATGCAAGGCTCACCTGGAATTCAGACATGGGTTGAACAGTCTGGTGGACTTTGAGTTTATAAAGGTGGTTGAAGTAGAATGAAATACATAGATGGCTGTAGAACAAAATCACCTGAATGAACAAGGCCGACAGTTTGGGTAAGTCTGGACACTAGTCAAAAATATCTTAGAGAAGGCAGGCCCTGTAGCACAGTGGTTAAGTCTGCATTGGTTGCTGGATCTCACATGGCTGATCACGGTTCTAATCTTGGTCTGGGGGCTTGAAAAATATGCTCAGAATCCTGATGGGATGGAAATATAGAGGAAAAAAAGATTGAGACCTGACCATGCTCTTTCAGAGGGGTGCTTTTTCTGTCTCTCTCTCTCTCTCTGAAAAATGTGTCTTTTAGAAATAGCAATAATTAATTAGATTAAAAATATCATAGAAAATGAAGTGTGTGGGTATAGTACATGCTATATCTTTACCTAGCCAGGGCCAGCCTCAGAGTATCTGTGTTCCCTCAGAAAAGAAAGAATTAAAATATTAAGGACCTAGAGTCTCTGGTTTGGGAACCTCTGAATGTGCTTTTCTCCTGGGGGCAGTTGGCGCTTTCTGCCCTCTGTAGACGAGGACACTGGTATCTGAAAGAAGAGACCCGGCAGCAGCATGGAAATTGACCTACAAGTAGCAGAAGAGCGAGGAGAGGACAACACAGAGAAATGCAGAGGTCCGGTAACACCTGACTATGTGTGAGATCCCTCCAGGAACCTGAAAGATGTTTACACAGGAGGAATTTGGAAAAGGACGAGATTGCTTTTCTTTCTTTCTCTCTCTCCCCTCCTTCCTTCCTTCCTTCCTTCCTTCCTTCCTTCCTTCCTTCCTTCCTTCCTTTCTTTTTCTTTCTTTCTTTTCCATGCCAGGGCGG